GTATAGTCATAGTTTCGGAAGAGGATCGGACAGAAAGTTTTCAGCACCTCCTCGTATTCAAATCATAATTCTGCTGGCGAAACGGATATATTTTTTTAATTCATCACATGGTCGCCAGTGTTTAACTTTGTGTATGCTAACAGAGGTCTGCAAGATAAGCGCTTTTGTGTCAGTGATGCTTGCATCAGCTATTGAACACATACAATCTATTTCTTACCGACTGAGTGACGAAACTTGCTAAGCAATTCTTTTAAAAAACGAAAAAAAAATTGCTTCCTTCTCACCTACAATCGGAAATTGTTAATCTGTTAGTTGTGAAAACGATTATAGCTAATCAGAAGAAGAATAAAGTAGGGTTAAGGTCAGTCGTTTGTAAGGAGAAGAGAATAAAAAAGTGCATATATGGCTTTCAATGCTAAAATTTACAGCATCTTATGTGACAAAGGCGAGTAAACGTTTCGTAAGCATGTTTCTTTTTCTTGTTGTTTTTATTTTGTTTTTCTTCTTGAATGTTCTGCATTCATTCAGAACTTTGGCAAACTTGACTCTCCTAAATTTAATGTCCTTTTCAGCTTTTAGTAGTTTGCTTTTTACTATAATCCTCGTCCTTGTTCTACTAAACCTTTACACAAGCTTTTTATATAGGTTATTCACTGCTTTTACCTGTCACTGTTGCCTTCAATATGTATTGTGAGAGCCAAATTCTCCAAGTCATCTTTCCTCATCATGTGCCCTAGAAATTTCATTTTGTCTTTGTCAGGGCCACCCACCTTCTCATCAGAATGGACTGATCTCTCTACTACTAATAGGACAGTTCTATAGAGTTCTGAGAAGATCAGGTGACCATCACACTTCCGTCTCTCTACCGGAAGATACAGTTGGACTTTATACTCTTTCTGATTGTTACTGACTAACCTGCGTTCGTTTGACTACTAATCTCTCTGTTGTAAATACCTCTTCAGATATACCAGTATTTTTCCCTACGTATGTGTTTGTCTTTATTTCAATACACGCACGGGGAAACACTCAACATCTCAACAGTCTTCTTCTAATTTCGAGTATTTGTGTTCTTTTTGTTTCCACGTTCAGTTCATGGTATTCTCAGCATCCTTCTGTAGAACAACATTTCTGCTTCCAGTATTCACTAGTGTGCAGGAGGACCGATATTACATTACAGTTCAGCAATCTTCTTTTATTTTGAACGAAATGTACCTTTTTGTTAAATATTTTGCTTAGCCTTACAAAGTCATCATTCGCTATTCCACTGCACCTTCTGTTTCACATTTCCCGCTCTTTGTTGAAACACTAACCAGATATTTAGATTTACGTAGTTGCTTGGTTCAGACGTCTCCAATTCGTAGGTCGTAACTTGGGTTGTTCTTATTCAGAAGCATATTTTCAATAATGTTACAATTGATGCTTAGACTTTTATCCCTACTTTTCTTTTATTACATACTCAAGCAATTCCTGGATTTTATATTCTGTGTCTGCCATAAATACTGCCATATGCATATTTTATATTGTTAAAGACTGTGGCCGACAATAATTTTATTTTGTTAATGAACATAAATATAACACACAATCGAAAAGTGAGGAAAGAGAGTGATGTTGGTCTTTATTACTGTTGAGATGTTGAGTGTTTCCCCGTGCGTGTATTGAAATAAAAACAAACACATAAGTAGGGAAAAATACTGGTATATCTGAAGAGGTATTTACAACAGAGAGATTAGTAGTCAAACGAACGCAGGTTAGTCAGTAACAATCAGAAAGAGTATAAAGTCCAACTGTATCTTCCGGTAGAGAGACGGGAGTGTGATGGTCACCTGATCTTCCCAGAACTCTATAGAACTGTCCTATTAGTAGTAGAGAGATCAGTCCATTGTGATGAGAAGGTGGGTGGCCCCAACAATTACTTTGATATTAAATTTGCTCGTCATATCCACTTACTCAACTTTCCATATTACTTTCATATAGATGCCATGCAAAGCTCCAAATCTGTTCAGAAATCTCTAAACTCTCAGCGTTTACGACCGTTTTCTTAGATCAATGATTAAAAATGACTTCCAAAGAAGACCATCCATATCTGAACCCCATGAACTAAAAATACAGAATCACAAACAATGAATTGTACCAAATAACAGAAATCGCTTCACTTGAGGACTTTCAACAGCAGCAAGTATCAAAATGGATAGCACATGTAACTCGAAGAGAAAATAATGACATAATCAAGATGTTGACGTTCAACTCTACACTAAACAAAAGGTTAGGAAGGAATCCCCCATCAATACCGAAAAGCAGGATAAGAGTGGACTTGAGAAACCTGTTTTAAAGCAAAATTATTTTGGGAGAAAGCTTTTATAAGTTTCAACCGAAAGTAACACTGATTGCTCGGTTAGTGAATACTGAATGTTTCTTTATAAGAAAACGGTTGATGTTAACATTACCATTTCTCCATTATTCTGAGTCTTTCACTCAACAATCACCAATAATCATAATAATAATCGTATTCTCTCTACGGAAACTCTAATGCCTATATTTACAATTTTCATGTTGAAAATGGGATAAAACAAGTGATTCATGTTTTCCAATTTAAAAATTCCTCTGGTGATTCGAAATTATACGAAATCGTTATTTACAACAAATATTACGATGCGTTATTTTATGACCCTCCCCGTAAATATTAAACTTAGCTTAATTTGGCAAAAGGTTACAAATATGGAGTACCCTGAGAATCGAAATCACTACTCGATACCAATGTCAATGAAGCTAATTCACTAACCATTACTCTATTCCCTTTACTTTCCTTGATAAGAAAAATATCTACAGTGGAGCCTCAATTTAATGAATTAATAAGGGGACAGTCTTCTGTTAAAGCTCTTTGTCCGTTAATTTGAAGTACTTTTTTCGTGGCATAAAAACACCCAGTACAGTACGGAATCGCCACAGCTAACTTGTACTACCTTTCAAAGTGATAGCCAAAGCTTCTGATAATTTATTCCCTGCATCAAGCATCTCAACTCCACGCCCGTTCACGTTCACTGACCTCTGTTGCACATACCACTTGTAAACAGCTTCCTCCAGGTCCCTACTTTGACATAATTTCATGTTCTTTCACTTTTGTACAGCACCTTTCTTATTTTCAGAAGGGTCCACATCAAACTTCACTGCAAAAGCTTGGGGTTTTTCCTTAATCCTAGTCATGCCATCTACACTTTGTCTTTTTCACAACGTATTCCTCACATACTCTGGCCACGGAAACTCCCGACACTAGCTTCTTAATAAGTTCTATTTTGTCACCAATTCTAAGGTTAAGGCGCTTCCTTTTCTCATCTCCGTTATGATTGAATACCATAGTGAAGAGCTTGGCAAAAAATATTGTATGCTCTACAGTATAAGATGTTCGAAAGACGATGCATGTGTGTACACGACGAGGGTTCAAGTAAACAACAGTGGGTATTCCCGGAACTACCAGTCTCTGTCTATTGATTGAACCAGTAAACAACAGCGGCAAATTCTGGAACTAACGGACTTCGCTTCGCTCCGCGCGGGCGTTTTCAGTTCCAACCGGATACTGCCATTTCTACGGATTTTGTCCGTTAAATCTGGAGTCACTTGTTTCCGGGACCGTTAATTCGAGGTTTTACTGTAATATCTAACTTATACAATTCACTACATCAATCAATAATATATTAACCTATTTTGCCAATGTTCTTCGATCCAAATTCTCTTTTATATTCTTTTACATATCATGTGTTCCATGCAATATTTTACCATATAAGACAATGACGACGAGGGAAATAATTTAGCAAGGAAACTGCGAACAATGGTAATGCTCTTAAGAAACAACAATAAAAATTAAAACAAGGTGTACAAATCTTTCTTTAATTCTTTCGCTTAGTTTTCTTCGGTCAGTTATGTGCTACACGGGTATCACGCATGGCACATAACTGTTCTGCTATTTACCGATAGCTGGTGGGGGAAGAAGAAGAGGATTCATACTTTTTTTTTTTTCAATAGAGTCGACTGAAATTCGAAATCGGCTCTCCAATTCCTCAATCCGAGCCGCTATACATTACGCCACCGCGCTTCTTACTTCCATTAGACTTATCTTTTCCAGCAAACGCGAAATCAATAAAATCTCAAGTTCAAATGACTGTTGGAACACCAATATTTTTACTCATAATTCATTGTGAGTCATTTATAAAACGCACATCTCTTCAAATTAGAAAATCAATCTTTTCCGTATTTTAACCAACACTCAGGCGTATATTATCCCTCATGACTTATAAATCTACACATAGCAAATAACATGTTGACGTTGACAATCACTTGCAATGCGTTTTTATTATCATTTCATGAAAAAAAGAAAACAGACACTCCAGAACCGACACCTTTACTGAGTTGAACTAAGTCTGACACAAGGCAATATTATATCAGCTTAAGTAGGACTAACGTTATTAATAGGTAAATCAAATCAATAGAAGGGTCAAGACTGTATTCATAATTTATTTTATATGTTCGTCAAAAATAAAAATTGACAATAGACATTTTTCTTTTTCCTGGATGGCACGTGGCAAATAATCTCGATTAAAGTCTGGAATTGTCTCTTTTATTAACGAATGTCACCGTTCCGCTGCTGGTTTCAGATCTTTGGCCCCCTACTGTCGATTGTGGCAGACCTCGAGGTCATTGAGAGCTATTATGTCTTTTATGAATGTGGACCCTCTTTTTGTGTGCATTCTGTTCTTGTGTATATTTTAAGAAAAAAGCAAGCGCGTCACGCATTTTTATCCGTTACGGCAATGAGATAGAGGATCGGTTGAATCATGCGCAGTTCGACTAATTGAAATCTAATCGAGAACGCACAAGGAGTCGCGATTTACCGGCAAGAAGAGCATCTTATTGGCACGAAATGCTGGCAGGAAATCCCAACAATTTTCGTTTTCCACTTACATTGTTCACGCAGTTATGAAAACGGGAAAAATTGCTCCAAGGCATGCATGCATTTAGCTGTTCGTAAGTATTGTATTTATGACTGGCTATCTATAGATACATGCAACGAGATAACTCAGAACGATATCTATCTATCTATCTATCTATCTATCTATCTATCTATCTATCTATATATATATGTGTGTGTGTGTACGTGTTTCTGTATGTGTCTACAGAGACATATCTATCTATCTATATATATACATATATATATATATATATATATAAATATATATATATATATATTTCTAGATATGAACGTATTTATGTAGGATGTATGTACTCATATATATAAATGTAATACCTATCTATCTATACATATATGTGTGTGTGTACACGCATATATATATATATATATATATATATATATATATATATATATATATATATATATATATATATATAGATATGAACGTATTTATGTAGGCATGTAATTAATACATCTATCTGCCTAAATCTATCTATCTATCTATCTATCTAACTATCTATCTATCTATCTATCTATCTATCTATCTATCTATTTATTTATTTAATTGTCCTCGTATCTGCCGGTATCTTTTTGACAGTATTTTGTTGCCATTCACTATTTTTCTCGTTCTTTTACAACAAACAGCAGATACGGATACATAAATAATGATTCATACGAACAAAATATCGTCTCCTCAGAAGAATTATATATATATATATATATATATATATATATATATATATATATATATATATATATATATATATATATATATATATATATCAGGCGCTAAATATCTGTGGGTTCAAACCCCTATTAAAAAACAGTTCTTTTATCACAAATTGGTTTCTATTATCTACCGATATTTTCACAGATTCGTATCTTTTCGCTTATCTATCGATATTTTCATAGCAAATGTTCAGGCGATCAACATTCCTTAGTTCTATCATTTCAGACCTCTACAACTAAGATATTCCAAGTGTCGACTCATTCCCCTTGTATTACATTGGTAAGAAGGACATTTCACTCAGAGCGCTTCTTCCAATATCTGTTACTCCTGAGAGTATGCTTCTTTGATCACTACGATGCCAACCTCTCCAAATTTTTGTCTCAATGCACCCTATCGGTTTAAAGCGTTGTTTCACGAATTTGGTGTCATAGTAATCGCGAGTTCAATCCCTGAGCCGGGCAGTGTGTAATTGAACTCAGTGCAAACTAGCCGAGCAATAGCTTACCAGTACTAAAAATAAGAACGAGGCAAGATATCCCTAGACATGGGAAGTGAGACAAGAACAATCTACTCACTTAGACTATAAAAGGTTCAGTTTGGAATTCCGTGTAGATTGCCCGAAACGGCATACACCTGAGGAAAGCTGGAAGACACAACGGCCGAAATTTTGGGATAACAACAAAGATGAAGACAAAAGTACGCAGGTAAATAATGTAAATAATATTAACTTCTCATCCTAGAAGTTCAGACAGAAATCACTCTCTCACGTTGTTAACCTTTTGAATAGGTTAAATCATTATTGAGTATCATTTGTCATGAAAATATCGATAGATAAGCGAAGCGATACCAAAAATTGATCTCTGATGAAAGGACTGATTTTAATAGGAGTTGAACTTACATATTCATTATTGGCTATGGTTTATATTGTATTTAATAATTCTTCTTATATGTCATCCCTATTAAATCTCTATGACTCCGATATTCTTCCATTTCGGACTCAATATAGTTATATCATCTGGAACCATATGCAGTAATAGAAACAGAGGAAATAATTCTTCGCTAAGGCAATGAGACACGATGGCAAATTCATTGAATAAGTCAGTTAATTGTACGCGGGACAGCATGGAAATTAAAAAAAAAGACCCATGCATGCGCACAACTAAAAAGACACACGCATGCGCACAACTAAAAAGTAAATTTACTCGTACGGACATGTTTAAAAGACATGTATTATTGTCATTTATTACTAAACACGTGAAGATAATTGTAAACATTTACATTTAACGGTTTGGAGTAGCTTTCTGCGACAAAGAAGGTAAATTATTCATGGGAGTTGCTAGGTTTAATTATCTATGTTTGTTCTTTTTAATATGATATCTGATGTCATTTTTTTTTGTTTGTCATATGAGACGCAAAAATTTGTGTATGAGTGATTGAACAGCGTGTATTTGACATTGTGCAATTGAATTTGTGTGTGTGTGTGATTGAATTGCATGCGTTATGCATGTGTGATTGAATTGCGTGCATTTTGATCCCAATACACCCCACATCATTGAAAAATTGAAAGAATACAATGAAAAATTAAAAAGAATTGATTACATACAGGCTGCATAAATATTCTAATTTTCGAATATTTTATAGAAATTGCTCAATACAAAGTAGAGCTTAATAATATTTATCGACACTTATAACAAAAACGTGTTATAAAATAATCGTTTATTCTCCAGTTAACCACCACCGCTTTAAGAAAATCTATCTCTGAAACATGATTGCATTTACGTAGCGGTTTATAACGTTTTTGTGATAATTGTTAATAAATATTATATATATATATATATATATATATATATATATATATATATATATATATATATAGAGAGAGAGAGAGAGAGAGAGAGAGAGAGAGGGGGGGAATTGAGATAGATAGATAGAGAGAGAGACTATACCCACAAATCTACGTATCACCAAAGATGAACTGAAGGCAAGGATTATGGGAGCATTCATCAACTTAAACAAGGAGACTGCCCAGAAGAGATGCAGGAGATTCTGAAGTCGTCTGGAGTCCGTGGTCGAAGCCAATGACGATTTTATTAAATAAATTTACTCTTTACTCTCAAGATATTTTTATGTAATTTTGGTATATATATTAGAATTAGATGTCACTATTATTTTCATTTTTTGTGTAATTTAGACGATAATTCATCCATTGCACTATATATAATCATTCTTTTAAACATGTTTCGTTGAATATGAGAGATAAGGAAAATTTATTAATTATTTAATTTTCTTAATTTTTCGTTTAGTTTTTTTCAGCATCCTTACATTTTTTCGTTTAGTGGAATTAAGGGAGTAGAAATTTGCCCGTAATGTCTATTGTCTCAAGCGCTTAAGGCCACTTGTTTAGTCATTTTCAAAGGGTTTTGCTTCTGGGTGTTGTTAATTTCTCTTCATGTTTGAATAAGATGTGTTTTGTGTTGTTTTGAATACTAATAGGAACGTTTATTGCGTGATTCTTGTGTGTAGTGCGGCTGGAATTCAAGTGAGCGTCTTTCTTATCTGAAAACTTCCAATAGCTCATTGCTATTATTAAATAAGATGAGATTGATTGTGGAAACGAGATTTTTTTATATACAGAGCCTCACTCACAGATAGATGTTTTCAATAATTTGATTTATATAAGAATTTTCTGTTTTTGCCAGAATTTTCTGTTTTTAAGCAGGTTTTTTCTGTTCTTAACGAGAATTTTACTCATAGGAACTTTTAAATCGTGGGTAGCTTTATGACACTTTCAAGATATGTGAGGCGACTACTGACTGATGTGGTAGTATATCGGATATGGATGGTAGACATGTTGTAGGCTCTGATTTTTTCCCTTGTCTTCCATATTCAACGAAAAACAAACACATGCACAAACACACATATATATGCCTATTCTAGGCTAAAAGCATAGTTTCAAAGTATGCTAAATTTATGGGTTAAAATATCAGAGATTGAATAATTTGTAACATAACCGCCTATCTATTAAATGTTAGGATGTTACTAAGATTTTAATAACAATTACATTGACCAATATATAGAAATACCCGAGGCAAATCACAACACTCATGACCTAAAGATTGTGTTCAAGTATGAAACAAACAGTCGCCGCTAGATGTTCATATATATATATATATATATATATATATATATATATATAATATTAGTGGTAAATATATACATACATATGCAAAATATATAAATATATATACATAGGTGCATACACATACATGTATATTTTTGAATAAAAAATTTCGAGAGGATAGAATCCAGGTAGAACTTAATGTCCAGGACAGAGTAAGGATATAATAAAAAGGCTTAAACACTAATATTCCATGGTCATAATTTATTCCATTGGGATCGTAAATTCGATCCAATTCATCAGACCTACAAATTCAAAAAAGAAAACAGAAAATGTCTTTTTTGGAATAAATTATGGCCATGGAATATTAGTGTTTAAACTTTATATATATATATATATATATATATATATATATATATATATATATATATATAATATATATATATATATATATAATATTTCTATATCTAGTTACAGTAAATTATATTACTGTTTTTATGCTACATTTTTAGTGCTGGTTTCGTTTAATTTCTGTCCGAACAATCTTATTTGGTCTAATGATATATGTCAACCAACAACAATAGCAAATCTGTGAAACTTACTATATACAATAGAAATATATATACCCCAAGCACGCAGCCTCCCATCCACTGATATATTATATATATATATATATATATATATATATATATATATATATATATATATATATATATATATATATATATATATATATTCACTAAATTGAAACACTTTTTGCAATAAAACGGAATATTTTCACTTCCTGTGTACAAGTGCCGAACTAAAAGATAATGAAGTTATTTTGTGATCAAAATGTGCAGGTGGTGTAATGGATAGCGGTTTGGAATGAGAAATCGGAGAGCCGGGTTCGAATTTCCGCCGGTTTTGTTATATTAATTTACGCACAAATACCCTTGGCAAAGAATCAATTTGTTCTGGATTTAATTGTATCTGAAAAAAAAACATCAATCTTATTCTTACCAAGAAAATTGCCGTTACGTTATTCACTCGAAACAAAAAGAGAACTATTCATATAATGTCAGATATCGTTTGGATTTAAATCACCCTCAATTAGATGATAAAGCATAAAATCAAATTTAAATTCAAAATTAATTGTATGTGTTTTCTTGTAAAATCTACAGTGTAGGGAGGAAATGAATCATGACGTTAAAAAGCACAACTAAATAATACGAAGGTTTAAGTTCCAGATTTCTCATTAATAACTCTCCACACCAACCGCATCTTCTTTTCCCATCCATCCGAACAAACAGATAGAAAACTGATGTTTGCCGATTGAACGCCACCAGATTCAGACATACTGGCGACGCATAATAAATGATCAGCCGTCGGAACTCTCTACGAAACAAAACTGTCCATTTGTGCGCACACCTTATTTAGTTACAGCAAACATTAGACAAAAATCTATGCAAGTCAACACGAAAACCACCCCTTTTCTCTTTCGTTCACTTATTTATTCCACCTACCTACACTTATGCATAAATCGTCAGGTGTCATTGCACACCTGTGTTAATTAAGCTCTCTAATGTCGATCGTTAACATGCGAAACGGAACTGAAGCGTACGGAAAGGAATACATTAAAAACAGTTGTGGGTCTTTTGGTCTCTGCGTTCTGGGACCAAATTACCGAGATGCAACAAGTGGCCATCAATTTAGGATACTATTACAGATTGTGCCAACTAGCAGTTTCACATTGCCCGGCAACCCACGTCTGAAATCTAACCCTCTTCGTGAACACGCTGCTAAAAATCAAGCGATAGCAGAGAATTGAGTGACTTGATTCAGTGTAATGATTCCCCAACCAGACGAGAGGTCGGCACGTGAACGGACGGCGACGCTCGAAGATTTATGGCGTCACTCGACTTGACTCGTGCTATCAGCCAGGCCCCAATTGATTACCCATCAAACTTATGCATATTCAATTGGGCAAGTAACACATTGACCCCCATCGGATTCACGTTTCTCTATTTAACTCACTCTGGGCCTCAATCTTTTTTTTTTTTATTGCGTTCCGTATTTTTGCGCATGCGTGAATTTGTGGCTGTTTTGCAGACATTAGCATTAAAACACTCCATACATATAACTTGTTAAATATTGAAAATTTTGCAAATTTAAATTATCTACCTATTTATCTGTCTGTTTATTCAGCTATCTATCTGTTTTTCTGTCTATCTATCGCAGTCTGATCATATATATCTATCTAGCTATCGTATTTAGACCATTATCTATCTATCTATCTATCTATCTATCTATCTATCTATCTATCTATCTATCAGATATAAACACTATATGTGTACATATATGTGAGTACAAATAAATATAAAAGGAAAACATTCTTTCCCAAGCAAGGATGTAAATCCACTAAGGCACAAGAGGTTACTGAGAGTGGAAAAAATTAGGATTGTAACAGATTTATCAAAAATTGTACTTTGATTTATCTATTTCTGTCTCGATACATATATATATATATATATATATATATATATATATATATATATATATATATATATATATGGGGGGTGCGTGCATGCGTGTGGGTGTGGGTGTGGGTCTGCGTGCGTGTGTGTGTGAGTATAAAGGCATATATATAAATGAATAGGTATAGATATGCACATTAAAGTCTAAAGAGATTATTGAATTGTGAATCTCACAGTCACCACGCAGTACACACTCACTATATTTATAAATATTCAAACTTTGATAATGAGCAAACTTTCCCGAAAAATATAGCAAATTTCCAACATCTATCTATCTATCTATCTATCTATCTATGTGTGAGTATGTGAGTATGTTTTTTTTTTGCCTGTGTATCAGATTAATAATGGTTAAATGGATGACAAAAACTACTCAGTGAAAGTCTTTATTCCGAGGATGAACTTCTTTAAGCCAAGACTTGAAGGCAATCTTCAAGCCTAAAAATTGCGTATAAGCCTGACACCGACTTTAGCCGCTGGGTGTTGAGCTCAAATATCCACTCTTATAATTGCATACGCGTTCTATCCCCGATACTGAGCACTTCAATCCATAAATATAGCATCCCTTATATATATATATATATATATATATATATAAAGAAAGAACAGTAAGATATATAATCCGGTGTTCTTATGTGGCACCATGCATCCTGACGATTTGAAAGAAATATTCATAGATATATGATTTGTTTTTTACGGTTTATCAACCATTTAATAATTATTTAAGGCCGAAAAATATTTTAGGCTTTAAGAATTGGGAGAAAGAAAGAGAAAACGAAGAAGAAAGAAAGAAAAAAATAATACGAAAACGGGTCATAGGCGAACACACACACACACGGCTAGAATTGATAGGTAGCAGATGTCGAAAATATCTAGGTCACCTACGAACAAGCATTTGACCGATTTCCACGTGTCCACGAAAAATGGAATTTTGTTATCAATTGGATGTCACCGAAGGTAAAGAAAGACCATTGTTGAACATTGACGAAACACAGACAGTCTTCAGAATTAGAAAAATCCCACCCAAGAAGTTTTCACTGGCAAAATTTTTCTTTCTTTTGACAGAATAAACGCTTGCCCTGCGATAATAAAGATTTTTGTTATCAAACCTTCGCTTCAGAAACGCCAGCTAGCCTAGGAAATTCCTTTCTTGGATCATGTCCAATTAGCGATAAACTGCTTGACAAATACCACGTGTTAAAAAGCCGAGAGTGTCATCTCAGTCGCTCATGATAAGGGCGATTTAATTAATATTTTTTTTTGCTAAGCAAGGTATTTCTTTCCCTAAACAAAACCGCGGATTGTTCACGCCCGACTAAGACGTCATTGGCCAAGTAGATCACATGAGGGAGGAGGAAAGATACCCGACCAGGACCTCATTGGCCGAGAGCGGTCACGTGACGCACGAAGAAAATCGGTCGACGCCTCTATCAGAAGTGTAAGTGTGAGGAGCCGATACGAAGAAGTGGGGAAGTTAGTTCACGCCCCTCAGAAGCACAGTAAGGGAGTGGGAGTGAGAGGAAAGTTACCGAAAATGGAAAAGAGTAAAAAAATCCCTAACCAGAAATAAGAAGGGTGGAGACGTATTTAGAATTATCGAAGAATCCCCGACGCCAAACAGACCCACCCCAGTTTTGACGGCGTCAATAAAAACGAAGCCCCACCAGACAGAAATCAGTGCAGCCGCGGACGGCAAGCGGAGTGCAGCCGCGGACGGCAAGCGGAGTACAGCCGCGGACGGCAAGCGGAGTACAGCCGCGGACAGCGGGCCGAGTTCGTTCGCCCCCTAGCGGGTAGAAGAGGCCAGTTCGTTTGGCCTGAGTGAAGAAGTTCGTTCGCCCCAAGCGGGCAGAAGAGGCCAGTTCGTTTGGCCTGAGTGCCGAGAGTTCGTTCGCCCCAAGCGGGCGAGAAGAAGTTCGTTCGACCCAAGCTGGAGAGAAGAAGTTTGAGTTCAGCCGCAGACCCTGGCGAGAAGTTTTGAGCTCTGGACGACAAGCAGAGATGAGCGCCCAGTGTTGAAACCGCGTCAAGATAGCTGACCAAGATTCACGCACACTTTTGGACTCTTCTTCAACCAAGAACAAGTAGTTTGAAGAGCGACTTAAAATCAGACCACAGAAATAAGTTTTTCGACTTTCGTCCAAAGACACACCGAAACACAAATTTCTTAGAGAGCAGACAACTTGAAGCCTTAAAGTTTGCCTAGCGAAAGCGTCGTGCCACAATCCACAGAACGGGTCGGGAAGTAGAAATAGTCCTATGTACCGAACAAATAGATATAAACGTTTGTTACCTTTTTCTTTGATACTTTGGACTTCGAGAGTTTTCATTTTATTTTCTTTTATCCATAATTGTGTGTTATCACCCCCGTTGAACTCAGCTTGCATTACGGCCCCAACCCCTGTTTGATCTCGTCTGTCTAAGATCAATTCACAACGTGGGTAGACAGACTGGGGTTCAGTGCAGTTACCCTGGTAACCAGGCGTTGGAAGCAGGTTGGGAACGGCGAGGCTGGTATCAATCTAACCAGATTCCTACCCGAATCACCAAAGGGTTAGAACGTCACGTTTGGAGCAGCGAGGAGCGAACAGCTGACGCCGCGGCGAAGACGTCACAATTGGTGCTGTTTGGGGACGTCACATCTGACGCCGTGACCGGGACATCAGAGCCTGGGGCAGCCACGTAACGTCACATCTGGCGCCGTGGTGGATCAGGATAGAACGACACAGTCGGCGCTGCGACCGGGGGACGACGTCACACTTATAGATATTTTTATTTTTACAAAATAGTGCTCATTTATAATCCGGTATTACAAAATTAAATTCAGAGCTTTCAGCTTCCATTTTTGAAACATGGTTAGAACTGTGTAGCGAAAAAAAAACATATTTTAAATCAATTAATTTATAATATATATATATATATATATATAGTTTATGCAAAACTGGGTAATCCGTATGGGTAGACCCAAGGAGGATGATATCCAGAGAGCTCAATGTAAATTCAGAGCAAATATATTTGAATAAAAACTTTACTTCCAAAGGTTGAAAACCTTTGGAAGTAAAATCTGATGACCCAGAGCTCTTTAAAAAGGCTGTGGTGAAATAATTTATTACATGGAAACTTAAAGTGGTCTGTTTTTATTCAAATATATATATATATACAATTCTTTTTAATCATTTACACACACACACACACACACACACACACACACATATATATATATATATATATATATATATATATATATATATATGTGAAAAGTGTATATAAATATAAGTAAATATATATATGTATAATTATTTATATATTATATGCGCAATTGGTACATATTAGAAAGCGCTCAATATCAGAGATAGAGCTAACATCTATCCAACCAAATATATATATATATATATATATATATATTTGTCAGATAAATAAATGTGTAAAAAAAAATTCAGATACACATATCTGAATTTTTGCCATTTCACAAGTCTGACGATTACTTTTGTAATTCATCTTTTTCTTCGATTTTATGATTTCGACCCTCTTTCTAGAAAAACAATATTTTCACAATATTTTAAACATATATTCGCTTAAAATCTTCTACTTTGGATAAATTGTTTTAAAAATGTAAAATTTTAGAGTTTTTTTAAAAACTATTTCAGATATCGGAAAATAAGATTAATTCTCTATTGATAATAATGCACAATTACAAATGCATCTTGGACTTCTTATCGCTTTAATGAGTATATTTATAAATGTGATAGCCTTAGTCTAACCAGTACGTTCAAATAGCAGGAAATGATTTACTTTTATAAATCCGTCAAGTCATAAATAAATCAATATATATTTTGTGCGGCGAAAAAATGAATCTGAACTTTAAAAAAGGCTATGCCCCTTTGCAGTGAAAGAATATCTCATGAGGAAAATGAGCAAATATGAGAATTTTTTTAAGGGTAAGCGACTAATCTTTTATAATCTCCGAAATGTCATCTGCATGACTTTACACTGAAACTGAAGCCAATTTAAATGTTATTACCTAATTCTTGATATACATCATTGATACAAGAGAATATCTATCAATATATATTAATAAAATCTATGCCGAAAGGATACTTTTTACAATAACGTCAATAATCATTTATGGAGTAAAACCTATTCTCCACACCGATGTTTCTTTCCCAAAGGCGTTAATTCGTAAACCTATGGCTACTTTATCGCTATTTCCATGGCAAATATTCAAATAAAAACTATCGTTTAGTTCAACCAGTTTAAACCTTTACTGCGAGTACAAGCCATGTTATTGTCAAGGAACCAAATCGTCCATCTTTCCTCTGTATTCAAAATGTAAGTAGAAAGTTCCACCCACAAAACCGCTTTGTACATCAGACAAATCCCAGTATACGTCAATGAACAACACTACAATCTTGATCTTTTCAAAGGTCAGTTGTCATCTACCCTTATAAGGTTCATAATTCTCACTTCCGGCAACCTATTTTCACTGATATAACACCTTATTCATCGTAGCCACTTACGTTGTATTTGGTTAACTTTAGTATAAAGAAATTAATTTTTTCTTTCAAATTCAGTTTGTTTTATTCTGATATCCCAAATTGTTATTGTTATCTCGTTAAGTCAGTAGCACATAAGGAAAATATAGAATGTCCTTTGCTAGAGTTGAGCTCGTAATTTACGAGGGCCAGCTGAAAAGTCCATAGGCTGATTATGAAAAAATGATGCTAGAGCCGTGCAATATTACACGCATTGATGTCAACTCTTTATTAATAACTGCATTATTTCCAGGTAAACTGATATCTAAGTGTTCAAAGAAGACTTCAGATCTAACGTGTAGCGACTTCCCTTGAAAATGAACAAAATTTGGCATTGTGGCGTTACAAAGATTTAGCCCCCAAGGACATTGATGCTGACATGGTTACTACATTGGGGGTGATGCTCCAGCTTTATAAACACTGCAAATGTGAACATCGAGATCTGAATTTATGAGGGAAAGGCAGAGTATTGAATGTGACTCAAGTTTTGGACGGCCAGCAACTGCTACCACCGAGGGAAGCATTGATCATGTTCACCACACGGTGATGGATGAGAGGCGACTGACTATAAATCAAATAGCCAATGCTATTGGCATATATTGAAAATGTCCTACCCATTGAACTAGGTATGATGTAGATTTCGGTTCGGTGTGTACCACGTCTTCTGAGAACTGGTCAAAAGCGCGTCATACTGATCATATCACGGGAATATTTGACATTGCATGAGGGAGATATAGATGGTTTCCTTGAATATTTCTTAACCCAGGATGAGTGTTGGGTTTATCATTTTGAGTTAGAGACATTCCATGCAGTGGAAACACCGATCCTCAGCTGCTCCAAAGAAGGCCAATGTTGTTTCATCTTCAGAGAAGTTGATGACCAGTTTTTTATCGATGCAAAAAGTATAATGTTTATTGACTATCTTCAAAATGAGTGACACTATCAATGGGAAGTACTATGGAACTTGCCGAGGCTGTTACGCAAGGTTATCAAGACTAAACGCTAAGGATAACTGACAAAAAGGTCTTGTTTCATTGGGACAAGGCTCCAGTGCACAGGTCCTTTGTTTCAGTAGCTGCTGTGCATGGCTTTAAACTGGTTGATCAACCTCCTTATTCTACTGATTTGGCCCTATCTGTCTATTTCTTACCCAACATGAAAAATCTTGGCTGTGAATTAGTATCGCACGGATGATGACGTCATATCAGCTGTTGTTGAATGGTGGGGCCAACAGGATGAAAGTTTATGCAAATTTGGAATCCATACACTGCAACATCGATGGAAGATGACTGTGGACCGCAAGGTGGACTATATTGAAAGATAAATCTCATTTAGTTACTTTCCATGAAAGAATCTTAATCAGCCTATGAACATTTCAGCCGATTCTCATGCATCTAAGAGGCCTTATACATTTAAGAGGCCCTTAATCCAACGGAGAAAGTGTTCTTTTTTTTAATTTTAGAATAGGATAAAATGTTTAAATTGATAAAATTAGTATAAATGATTTTTTCAGACGTATACATTTAATACGCGTATGCAATTTGCTAATATTCCAAAGAAGCAGAATATGACACTTGTAAACATATAATTATCATATTTTTTCCTCAGGAATGAAAATAATATATATGCAATGAAGAGAAGTTTCCCCACTTTTTGCTAGGATTCAATGAAGTAAAAATGTGCATATTTTAAGTAAAAATGTGCATATTTTAAGTAAAAATGTGCATATTTTAAATTAGTGTTATTTAATATAGTTTGCGGTATCATATGAAATTACAGAAAACTAAAACTATTTTTTAAACAAATCTGATTTTCTTAGTTGAATTATTGACATTTATTATTCATTTTTGAAACTAGTATTTCTTCTTATTTTTCTACCTTTTTAACACAGAAAGAATGTTCATTATATGCTCATTAAGCCGCGCGAGTCAGAAATAAGGTATAAATTCCCAACGGATGAGGGACTTATACATCATATCCGTCGGAACTCCTTTTATTATGACAGCGCCTTGCGGGTAAGCCAACGAAGTCCAGCGATTAGAAGGACATTCAATGTTGACTATAAAAGCTATAATCTTACATTGCCGAACGCCAAACATTGCTATCTTTTCCATTATTTTTTTTAGCCTTTAACGCACATAGAATGACAATTTGGGAAATGATATAAAAAGCTACAGGAAGGAAATGCAATAAAAACTAATCACGAACTTTTAATAACTGTTCATGTATCACGTATGAAATTCGAACACTATAACTACCAATAATTTTATTCTTTTAAAATCTAAAAAAAATTGCATACTTCAGAATAATATATATCAATCGCGACTTCCTCGTTAATAAATATTATTAAAAAATCTTTTTTTTTTAATGTGCCCTTTATCTTAAGAACGTGAGGGATTATGAATGTATACTTTTTATTCTTTGCAGTTCTAAGCAATGTTTCTCATCTTACTATCTCATCCTGTCCTTATTATGTCATCTATTTGCTCAAAATTCTCAAGTAGGCTATTCGGTCTTTTCCACTATCCTTCCTGTTTCCAATATGTCCTGTGAGTGTCAAATTCTCTAAACCCTCTTTCCCTACACTGTCAAAAGTCAACTCTTTCTTCCTAATCCGAAAAGACAGTCAACTTTCCCTTGCAATTTTCCTGAAATCTTCCTCGTTTATCACATGTTCCGTCCACGGTATTCTCAGCATCCTTCTGTAGAACAATATCTTTACTGCGCTTCATCTTCATTTATCAGGAAATTGTACAGCATTCACTGCCATATTGGAAGATGTCCCTACACTTAAGCCAACAATCTGACACTGGGTGGCATGCCACTGGCGTTTACCCCTGATGCTCCTCTGTCCGACCGCCGGCATGCTCGTCTCGGCAATGTTACCACTTGCAGATTGCTAGTGGGCCACCGTTGGCCCACCGGTGGCTGCCACCAGAAGAACACTGACGCTGCCATCGGCGACCCGCCAGTAGGCCACTAGCGTCTTGCGTGTAGGGATAGACGCCCAGCGCTCTTTTCTAGGTTTCTAACGAACTTCTTCAGTTTCTTGATACGTTGTTTAGCATTTAGAAGGTGTTTTCGTTATTTCTGTGCGACGCTTTTCATACATTAGAAGGATTATATCGGACTTCTACAGGACAAAACGTGTTACGCAATATTTTTCCACTTTGTCATTGACTTGCCCAAACGTTTTCTGATATATATATATATATATATATATATATATATATATATATATATATATATATATATATATATATATATCATAGTTTGCCATTGGTTTGATGAAGTATATGTTGTATAAGTCTCTGTATATTAGAACAGGGTTAACTAACATTGTTCTCATATACAGACATTTATATATATAGTATTCATCAATGTAATATCTGTTAAACAAGATCGAAACATTTTACAGGAATTAATTATGGCTTAGTTACAATCCTGGTTTTATTTATTTTCGGAAATCTAAGCTTCTTAACATATATATAGACTACAGTTGTATATGCTATAGGGAGCAAATTGAAAATCAAACAAAAATTTTGGTCTGGCATGGGGGAACATAGGGCACTTTTGCCCTCCCGGGATAATAGTCAATGCTCAACACGCACACACACACACGCACATATATATATATATATATATATATATATATATATATATAGGCAATTAAAGCGTTTTCGATTAGTGCACAAGAATTTTTATATACCAAAATTGGATTAGTATATACATAATACTCGATTAGTGCGATAAAACATTCTGTAGTACACATTAGCCACACTAATCGAGATTTTTTTTTAATGAAATATTTATTTATTTATTTATTTATATATATATTTGATATTTCAGATTGACCTAAATCTTTCTTCAGAAATAACTCATATATATATATATATATATATATATATATATATATATATATATATATATAGATCCAAGTTCATTCTTAATAAAATTACGCTTTCTATTTTAGTTATGTTGCACGGTTTGTCTTTGTTATAGGTATATATATCTAGTCAGGTTGTTCGCTGTCTGGATCGGTCGTTGGCATTGACTCGCTATTGTCAAGACCCCTGTCATTTGTCCATGGGTCACCGTCTATTGAAGGAGGCATGACTAAAAAACAGAGAAGAATTTTACCAGAGTCCGTAAATTGACGTGGATGGAAACGCTCGGGTTACCCACAGAAATCTCGACTGCGTGTCACATCTCATCTCAGTAGGGCGACTGGCTAAATACCGAGTTATTCATAGATAGGCGGCCCCTGTCTGGCTTTGATTGTCAAGCTCTCCCTCTCTCTCTCTCTCTCTGTCTGTCTCTTCGGGCAGATGGAGACCTTTTTTTTTAACTATTTTGATAATAGCTAATTTACTCAGTGAAATTTATTATTGACCACAACGCGCCTGACGTCACTGGCGAATAAATTTCATGAACTTCTTGTGAACGTACTGCGACCGAAGTTCTAATAAGCTGCGCCATCTCACCAAATACGTCTCAGCACACATTTTTGAATTTTTCCACGAAGCTTTAACATTATTGGATAGGATCTATATTAAAAAGGAAAATGAAATGGTCCTGAAGCACTGACTGGTTATAAGGCGTTAACTGCCCTCAGATTACATTGACAGAGTTTATCAAGTTGTGATAAAACTAAGTAAGGATTGTTCTCTTTAGTTTCAGGGGAACAATATCGAGCCGAATTAATAGGAAATGCCTTTATAAACGGGCTAAGGTCCACAGATATCCAACGAATAATACTTGAAAACAGCATCTTAAAACTACAGCAGGCCCATGACCAGGCAATTGTATGAGATTTTGCAGAACAAATTGCTAAAAATTACAAATACAGAAACTTCTCCACCTATTTTGCATCGTATGAAACATTAGGCTCTTCGAAAATATCAGCTTTAACTAAACACGCTTTTCTTTCTGCGGTTGCAAGAGAGAAGGGACAAATGTTATACATGCGGAAAGCAGGGACATTCGGCTAATGATGTAAAAGTAAGAGAAAAGAGGAGCAAAACGATAACTTATTCGGCATCATTGGATATACTTGGCTGGTTACCAACTATAACGATAGGAATCAATGCTAACGAACAGTCGCGAAAAGCACTGGTTGAAACGGGGAGTACAGAAAACTTCCTTAACGCAATCATTGCGAAACTAAATTCATAGGAAACTATGTGGTGATGGCAAGCTCATATATTTGCATACAGATATTTGGATACTGTTTCAACTACAGTTATAGGGTACTCTATACCAATGTCTACAGTTGAAGGGTACTCTATACCAATGTCTACAGTTAAAGGGAACATTATACCAATGACTACAGTTAAAGGGTACACTATAACAATGTCTACAGTTAAAGGGTACTCTACACCAATATCTACAGTTAAAAGGTACTTTATACCAATGTCTACAGTTAAAGGGTACTCTATACCAATTTCTACAGTTAAAGGGTACTCTACACCAATATCTACAGTTAAAAGGTCCTTTATACCAATGTCTACAGTTAAAGGGTACTCTATACCAATTTCTACAGTTAAAGGGTACTCTATACCAATTTCTACAGTTAAAGGGCACTCTACACTAATATCTACAATTAAAAGGTACTTTATACCAATGTCTACAGTTAAAGGGTGCTCTATACCAATGTCTACTTTTAAAGGGTACTCTATACCAATTTCTACAGTTAAAGGGTACTCTACACCAATATCTACAGTTAAAAGGTACTTTATACCAATGTCTACAGTTAAAGGGTACTCTATACCAATTTCTACAGTTAAAGGGTACTCTATACCAATTTCTACAGTTAAAGGGCACTCTACACTAATATCTACAGTTAAAAGGTACTTTATACCAATGTCTACAGTTAAAGGGTGCTCTATACCAATGTCTACAGTTAAAGGGTACTCTATACCAATTTCTACAGTTAAAGGGCACTTTATACCAATGACTACAGTTAAAGGGTACACTATAACAATGTCTACAGTTAAAGGGTACTCTACACCAATATCTACAGTTAAAAGGTACTTTATACCAATGTCTACAGTTAAAGGGTACTCTATACCAATGTCTACAGTTAAAGGGTACACCATAACAATGTCTACAGAGGTCTCAGAATGTGCCATAGCCGCATCATTAAGACAGTAGGGGAATGTAGGTATATTGCAATAGAAAAGAAGCCTATGCTATTGTCTAATCGCTGAGAAAATGGAGACATTATTTGATCGGGTTGAAACGGGGAGTACAGAAAATTTCCTTAACGCAATCATTGCGAAACTAAATTCATAGGAAACTATGTGGTGATGGCAAGCTCATATATTTGCATACAGATATTTGGATACTGTTTCAACTACAGTTATAGGGTACTCTATACCAATGTCTACAGTTAAAGGGTACTCTATACCAATGTCTACAGTTAAAGGGAACATTATACCAATGACTACAGTTAAAGGGTGCACTATAACAATGTCTACAGTTAAAGGGTACTCTGCACCAATATCTACAGTTAAAAGGTACTTTATACCAATGTCTACAGTTAAAGGGTACTCTATACCAATTTCTACAGTTAAAGGGTACTCTACACCAATATCTACAGTTAAAAGGTACTTTATACCAATGTCTACAGTTAAAGGGTACTCTATACCAATTTCTACAGTTAAAGCGTACTCTATACCAATTTCTACAGTTAAAGGGCACTTTATACCAATGACTACAGTTAAAGGGTACACTATAACAATGTCTACAGTTAAAGGGTACTCTACACCAATATCTACAGTTAAAAGGTACTTTATACCAATGTCTACAGTTAAAGGGTACTCTATACCAATGTCTACAGTTAAAGGGTACACCATAACAATGTCTACAGAGGTCTCAGAATGTGCCATAGCCGCATCATTAAGACAGTAGGGAATGTAGGTATATTGCAATAGAAAAAGAAGCCTATGCTATTGTCTAATCGCTGAGAAAATGGAGACATTATTTGATCGGGTTGAAACGGGGAGTACAGAAA